TGACAGCACATTTTCCTTCATGGGAACCACTAAACTCAAATCACTTCTGTAGCTCCTTAAGCCCTTAGACCAACCATTGTTTGATCTTGAGGAGTAGTCTCTTGCCTCTCAAAGTTTGGTGCGGGACTTTGCCTCTTGGTGCCTCTTTTATAATTGTCCACCAATCAAGCTCTCTTGCAGCTGTAAAAGTCCTCCTCTCTTTTACAAGCACCCAACTGTAGTATGGCCGTGAGATCTGCTGTCCTGCACATCAATGTCATTACGTCATTTATGGCCCCGTTTATTCGACTTATTGATTTGGATTTATGGCATTATTCATCTGTCTATTTAGGTGAATATGAGCGTCACCTCGTGACTGAGCCAAAATAGATCACAGACATCTGGGACAGGGGTTCGACTAATCATTCCAATAGCTCTCTGTTTCTCTCTTGCTTTCGCTTTCACTCACACTGTATCTTTCTCTCTCTCCATCCCTCTCCATATATCTCTCCGTTGCTCTCTCTTTCCCTCTCTATATACAGAGCTGCTTGAAAGTATGTGAACCCTACAGGGCTCGTAATTATTTTGCTATAAAACATTAAAATAAACATGAAATCCTTATCTAAACCCCAATTCGTAATAAAGACATTCCAAGTAAATGACAGAAACAAAAAATACATATTTTCATTGTTTATTTAACAAAAGTGGTTTAACATAAACTCTGATTTGATGTGTGCAAAAATATGTGAGCCCCTTCAGTCAATAGCTTGTGGCACCTCCATTAGCAGCGATAACTTGGACTCAATGTCTCCTATAGCCAGTAATCAGTCTCTGACATCTGTTTTGAGGGATTTTTGCTCCTCCTCCTTACATAACTCAGCCAATTGAGTGAGGTTTCAGGGGTGTCTGGCATGAACTGAATGCTTCAGGTCCTGCCACAGCATCTCCATTGGATTTAGGTCATGACTTGGCCAATCCAAAACACAAATCTTCTTTCTCCCGAGCCATTCTTTGGTAGATTTGCTTGAATGCTTTGGGTCGTTGTCTTGTTGGAAGACCCATTTTCGGCCCAGCTTTAGCTCCTTGACTGATGGCCTGACGTTCCGTTCAAGAATCTCCTGGTATACCTCAGAATTCATGGTTCCTTTAATGATGTGGAGTCATCCAGGTCCAGAGGAAGAAAAGCAGCCCCAGATCTTGATATTCCCACCACCATGCTTGACTGTTGGTATAATGTTATTTTTGGTGGTAGGCAGTGTTGGGTTTTCACCAAACATAGCAGTGTTGATTGTGACGTAAAAGGTCAATTTTGGATTCATCGGTCCAGAGAATGGACTTCCAGAAACCTTCAGGTTTGTCCAGGTGGTCTCTGGCAAAGTTAAGACGGACAGTTTGGTTCTTTTTTGACAGCAGAGGCCTCTTCCTAGCAACCCTCCTATGAATGGCATTTCAAATCAGTGTTCTGCTTATTGTTGAAGCATGCACAGTTACCTGAGATGCAGCAAGGGAGTTCTGCAAATCTCTAGATGTTATGTTTGGGTTGGCTTTTACTTGATTTATTATTGTTCTTGTGGCTTTTGGGGATATTTTGGAAGGGCATACACTTCTAAGCCGAGTTGCTGTCATGTTAAATGCTCTCCATTTGTAAATGATTTGCCTCACAGTGGACTGATGGAACTCAAATATTTTTTAGATTATTTTATAGCCTTCCCCAGACTTAAATGCTCTCACTACCCTTGTCCTGATGTCCTCTGAGATATCCTTTCCTCTCGGCATGGTGTGTTTTGCATTCACCTGGATGGGTAACACCAAACTAACCAGGTTTCTTATCTCTATTTATTAGAGTCCCACCCAAACTCTTTCCTAACAATCTCTCCTTTGATTGGTTCATTTGGTAGCTAATTATTTACCCACCTGATTCTACTTACCTACTTGATTTAACCAATGCAACTTGGGTTTCACTTATTTTTGCACCAGCACTAATTACTTTTTAATTTTATTTTTCTACTACACGCATGATTTCTTCTACAACAACATATTGTATTGGTAAATATAAACCTGTTATGTCAGATCAAAAAGACCGGTTCTGATTAAATGAAGATTTCATGGTAAAAACTGAAAAAATCTGTAATTGCACAAGGGGTTCATATAATTCCAAGCAGCACTATATCTCTCCTTTTCTCTCTCACATACACACACACACAGACACTCTGTTTCATAATTTCGCTCTCCATCTGTCTTTTCATTGCTCTCTCTCTCTCACTCTTTCTCTCTTCATCTGTCTATCCTGCTTCCTTTCTTTGCCAATGTCTATTACCTGACAAACAACCTCCCTTTAACAATCTACTTCAAAAGAAGAAGAAAGGCTTTGCCCCATTGAAAAATTGATGTGTAGTTTGTCTGTGCTACCCACATCTATGGTCTGCCGACAACCTGAAACTAAACATTGTAACCAAGGAGCATAATCTGGCTAACCACTGTAATTCAAAGGATCGTAGGCCAGTACAGTGTAATGTGGCAATTATCCACTGTAATTTTCCCCTACTTTTAATGGTGTCTACAGTGTACTCAGGTACTGTAATGGAGTTGTCAAAAGAAGTGTTGATAAGAAGTATAATTAGGTTTGTGTGTGTGCGTGCGTGAATTACTATCAATACAGAACAACTACAAAAAATACACACACATTCAGTTAGCTGACACTGAACATCAGTTGAGACACCTTAAATAACAAACAGCAATTCAGCTACTGTAACGACGGTTTATGTGAAACACGATACTTAAGTTAGTTTCCATGACAGCCAACTATGTCACTCTCCACAGTAATACACTGAGTGTACAAAACATTAGGAATGACAAAGACCAGCATTTCCCAAACTTGGTGCACGTTTTGGTTTTTGCCCTAACACTACACAACTGATTCAAATTATCAAAGCTTGATGATTAGTTGATTATTTGAATCAGCTGTTTAGTGCTAGGACAAAAAACAAAACGTGCACCCCTTGGGGTCCTGAGGACCAAGTTTGGGAAACCCTGACATAGACTGACCAGGCGAATCCAGGTGAAAGCTATGATCCCTTATTGATGTCACCTGTTATATCCACTTCAATCAGTATAGATGAAGGGGTGGAGACAGGTTAAAGAAGGATTTTTAAGCCTTGACATGGATTGTGTATGTGTGCCATTCAGAGGGTGAATGGGCAAGACAAATTATTTAAGTGCCTTTGAACGGGGTATGGTAGTAGGTGCCAAGCGCACTGGTTTGAGTGTGTCAAGAACTGCAACGCTGCTGGGTTTTTCACACTCAATAGTTTCCCGTGTGTATCAAGAATGGTCCACCACCCAAAGGACATCCAGCCAACTTGACACAACAGTGGGAAGCATTGGAGTCAACATGGGCTAGCATCCTCTGGAATGCTTTCGACACCTTGTAGAGTCCATGTCCCAACGAATTGAGGCTGTTCTGAGGGCAAAAGGTGTGCAAATCAATATTAGGAAGGTGTTCCTAATGTTTTGTACACTCAATGTAGACTCTTGAATCATGAGCATGTTGACAAGTTAATCATGATAGATTTACCACTGTAAGTCACCAGTCATCTGCTCAAGAAGTCAGACTCTTGATGACTGCAGTACTCTTCATATGCTTTAGGTAGAAAACAGCCTGCAAAAACGTCCTGAGTAAACATGCTTTCTAAGTAAGTATGACCGAGGCATAATATGATTGTGGAGAAAAAGCTCTGTTAAGACCGACAGGGCCACTGGTACACTTGTCTTGATGGAAACCCATAGACTCTCTCAGCAACCTCATAACAATGGACAGACGTGCCTCCACAAACTCAGAGACTCCAAAGTTTGCTCTGGTATTTTGGTTGGTTGTGCGCATAGAAATATAATTTCTTGAACAGACATCCTCCTCGTTCAAATCAATGTTCTGTGATACGTTACAGGCAGTCTCCGCTACATCAAGGAAGAAAATTGCAACCCACTTTACATTCCGTTTACTTCCCATCAAAAACTGCCAAATTTACTGGATTATTAGTGAGTTTTTGGGTGAAAATGGACCATTTTCCAACATGAAAAGCACGGCTCGCATCATGACTCAATCATGATATCCCCAAGAATGAGAATGGTGTACTACACATTCTCACATCTGACTCTTTTTCCAGGGCAGAAATGAAAAGAGTATTTTGCGATTTGCATTACATCGATACCATTACAAATTGGGCAGCAGGTTTTCAATTGGGCAGCAGGTTTTCAAATTGGGCAGCAGGTATGTCTATGGCTCCGCGCTAAGTCTCCGCCCCCGAGCGCACCACACCAAGAACATCATCCTCTTCCTGTGGGATGGTAACGAGCCGGAGCCATAGACATACGATAACCAGATGGTGCTTGTGGAAAGCATGGCATTATCTGGCACTGCAGAGCACAGCGACTTTACTATATAGCACAGGTGTTTCTTTATCAATTACAGGAGTAAAAATTGAGGAAATCTGTTGGATAAATAATTAGAATTGTTGTTATTTTCATAGTTGTGAGGCTCAGGCATGCATCCAACGAATGTGTTTTAAAGAGAGGAGAGCTGCTTTGGGATGCACACTTAGAGGCACAAAAGGTCTAAGTGATGTTTTGTTGACAGGCAGATTTTCCACTCTGCACAAGGTTTACTTTATCATGAACTTCTTCTTCTTCTTCTTCTATTATTTGAGTTACCACTTCAATCTTCTAAAAGTACAATATTTTTTTCATCTATAGGTCTGTTGCTTTTTGTTCCCAATTATCACTTCTGAGGAGAGGTTTTGAGCAAAGCCTAAATGATTAGTTAAATAGCAATTCACTTCTTTGTCTCTTCAGATTGTATCATTTACCACAGCGTCAATATTAGGACATTGTTAGTTATCAAAAAACAGTGTCTGTCCTAATATGGATGCTGTACTTTAGAGGTTATTGATTGTGATTGAATTAAAAGAGCAAGAAGATTAAAAGATGAAGATGCCCTGGATTAGGTTTAGTTTTAGAGCACATTAATGAGGGTGAAGCCTATCAACAACATCATTGTCATCTCATTTGTCACTCAGGGATGGGTGTGTCCACTGTGTCAGCGGCTCACATCCTGCGGGGCCAGATGGAAGGAAGGTCAGGAGAGGAGCCAGTGCTTGCCATGGATACTTTCCCTTACCTCACCCTCTCTAAGGTTGGATGAATGCCTGCGCTATTTCACCCTAAACCCCCCACTATACATCCACTAATTTTCTCCCTCCTAGGCTGCGTTTCATTCCAGAAAAATGTTCTCTACCCTCTGCCCTTGTTCACTGCCCTTCACAGATCTGCTAGGACGGAATATGTCGTGCTAGGTGGACCTATTGCTTACACCTACCCAGTTGTCTCAGATCTGTGACTGATATAATATACAATATACTATCCTAAAAATATGCGGACAAAAGCACATATCACCGCATACTATACAGGTCGCGGAGGGAGCTACAATTTTGGGGGGGATAATGACTGTGAGAATGTCCGTTCTGGTGACTTTTCATTCTGAACAAAAATATATAATGCAACATGCAACAATTTCAAAGATTTTACTGAGTTATAGTTCATATAAGGAAATCAGTCAATTGAAATAAATTCATTAGGCCCTAATCTATGGATTTCACATGACTGGGAATACAGATATGCATCTATTGGTCACAGATATCTCCTCTTCAATGGCTGTGCGAAGATGCCGGATATTGGCGGGAACTGAAACATTCTGTCGTACACTTCGATCCAGAGCATCCCAAACGTGCTCAATGGGTGACATGTCTGGTGAGTATGCAGGCCAAGGAAGAAGTGGGACATTTTCAGCTTCCAGGAATTTTGTACATATTTATGTGACATGGGGCCGTGAATTATCATGCTGAAACATGAGGTGATGGTGGCGGATGAATGGGACGACAATGGGCCTCAGGATCTCATCACGGTATCTCTGTGCATTCAAATTGCCATCAACAAAATGCAATTGTGTTCATTGTCCGTAGCTTATGCCTGCCCATACCATAACCCCACTGCCACCATGGGGCACTCTGTTCACATTGTTGACATCAGCTAACCACTCGCCCACACAATGCCATACACGTGGTCTGCAGTTGTGAGGCAGGTTGCCAAGTTCTCTAAAACAATGTTTATAGTAGAGAAATTAACATTCCATTCTCTGGCAACAGCTCTGGTGGACACTACTGCAGTCAGCATGCCAATTGCACGCTCCCTCAACTTGAGACATCTGTGACATTGTGTTGTGTGACCAAACTGCACATTTTAGAGTGGCCTTTTATTGTCCACAGCACAAGGTGCATCTGTGTAATGATCATGCTGTTTAATCAGCTTCTTGTTATGCCACACCTGTCAGGTGGATGGATTATCTTGGCAAAGAAGAAATGCTCACTCACAGGGATGTAAACAAGTGTGTGCACAACATTTGAGAAAAATAAGCTTTTTGTGTGAATGGAAAATATCTAGGATTTGTTATTTCAGCTCATGAAACATGGGACCAACACTTTACATGTTGTGTTCATATTTTTGTTCAGTGTAAAAGGACATCCTACTCCAAAATGTATGAAAATATAATGCTGCTGACATCTAAAATATAATTTCCCCCTCCAGAAATGAGCCCAATATTAATGATTAGTCCATATTATCAGGCAGGTGTGTTATTTAGCGATAATTATTATCACCTGATGTAGCCCACCTGATGCAGCATAGTGGCTATAAATAAATAGTCTGAGGTTTGCTGATTTACCCCATTGGGCTAATCATTAGCTAGATCACTACACTGGCTCTGACGCTCGTCGGATGTGGCAGGGCTTGACAACTATTACAGACTACAAAGGGAAGCACAGCCGCGAGCTGCCCAGTGACACAAGCCTACCAGACGAGCTAAACCACTTCTATGCTCGCTTCGAGGCAAGCAACACTGAAGCATGCATGAGAGCACCAGCTGTTCCGGACGACTATGTGATCACGCTCTCTGTAGCCGATGTGAGTAAGACTTTTAAGCAGGTCAACATTCACAAGGCCGCAGGGCCAGACGGATTACCAGGACGTGTACTCCGAGCATGTGCTGACCAACTGGCAAGTGTCTTCACTGACATTTTCAACATGTCCCTGACTGAGTCTGTAATACCAACATGTTTCAAGCAGACCACCATAGTCCCCGTGCCCAAGAACTCTAAGATAACCTTCCTAAATGACTACCGACCCGTAGCACTGACGTCTGTAGCCATGAAGTGCTTTGAAAGACTGGTCATGGCTCACATCAACAGCATAATCCCAGAAACCCTAGACCCACTCCAATTTGCATACCGCCCCAACAGATCCACAGATGATGCAATCTCTATCGCACTCCACACTGCCCTTTCCCACCTGGACAAGAGGAACACCTACGTGAGAATGCTATTCATTGACTACAGCTCAGCATTCAACACCATAGTGCCCTCTAAGCTCATCACTAAGCTAAGGATCCTGGGACTAAACACCTCCCTCTGCAACTGGATCCTGGACTTCCTGACGGGCCGCCCCCAGGTGGTAAGGGTAGGTAACAACACATCTGCCACACTGATCCTCAACACGGGGGCCCCTCAGGGGTGCGTGCTCAGTCCCCTCCTGTACTCTCTGTTCACCCATGACTGCATGGCCAGGCACGACTCCAACACCATCATTAAGTTTGCCGACGACACAACAGTGGTAGGCCTGATCACCGACAACGATGAGACAGCCTATAGGGAGGAGGTCAGAGATCTGGCCGTGTGGTGCCAGGACAACAACCTCTCCCTCAACGTGACCAAGACAAAGGAGATGATTGTGGACTACAGGAAAAAAAAGAGGACTGAGCACGCCCCCATTCTCATCGACGGGGCTGTAGTGGAACAGGTTGAGAGCTTCAAGTTCCTTGGTGTCCACATCACCAACGAACTATCATGGTCCAAACACACCAAGACAGTCGTGAAGAGGGCACGACAAAGCCTATTCCCCCTCAGGAGACTAAAAAGATTTGGCATGGGTCCTCAGATCCTCAAACAATTCTACAGCTGCACCATCGAGAGCATCCTGACTGGTTGCATCACCGCCTGGTATGGCAACTGCTTGGCCTCTGACCGCAAGGCACTACAGAGGGTAGTGCGTACGGCCCAGTACATCACTGGGGCAAAGCTCCCTGCCATCCAAGACCTCTATACCAGGCGGTGTCAGAGGAAGGCCCTCAAAATTGTCAAAGACTCCAGCCACCCTAGTCATAGACTGTTCTCTCTGCTACCGCACGGCAAGCGGTACCGGAGTGCCAAGTCTAGGTCCAAAAGACTTCTCAACAGCTTCTACCCCCAAGCCATAAGACTCCTGAACAGCTAATCATGGCTACCCGGACTATTTGCACTGCCCCCCCACCCCATCCTTTTTACGCTGCTGCTACTCTGTTAAGTATTTATGCATAGTCACTTTAACTCTACCCACATGTACATATTACCTCAACTACCTCAACTAGCCGGTGCCCCCGCACATTGACTATGCAACGGTACCCCCCTGTATATATAGCCTCCCTACTGTCACTTTATTTTACTGTATATATAGCCTCCCTACTGTCACTTTATTTCACTTCTGCTCTTTTTTTCTCTCAACACTTTTTTGTTGTTGTTTTATTCTTACTTTTTTGTTTAAAATAAATGCACTGTTGGTTAAGGGCTGTAAGTAAGCATTTCACTGTAATGTCTGCACCTGTTGTATTCGGCGCATGTGACCAATAAAATTTGATTTGATTTGATTTGATCACAAACTCTAAAGTCTAAACATTAGGCTATCTTATTGCTAGTTATAGCAACATATTGATGACTTGAATGTCCCCCAAAAATAACATTCTACTGGCACTCAGCCAATCAGCAATCATGTACTGTGAATAATGTAGGCCTACCTGATACACCTGACCCGTGTTACATTTAACCCCGGTTGCCACTGCCATGCCCCTGCTAAAAACTCTGGTTCTAAAATGGTGCATTTTACTTTCTTGGATTTGAGAAATAAGTGTAGCCTAGTAACACTAGAAAGCTCAGTGATCCTCCTCTTTTAACAGTGGCCATCAAAACTGCTTTCAAAGGTGTGTTGTAGGCTACAATAACTGGGCATGTGTATTTCTCTCCATGTGCGGCACTTGCAATTTGATAGCGCCTCGAGAATAATATTATTTTCTCACATAGAATGTGACAGGCTGAACAATTGAATAGGTAAATTATTGTACTATGTGGTTGTCTGATTTTGCTGTTGCTTAGCCTACTCATGTTGTTGACTGTGGAAAATTAAACGTGGACAACAATATTTGATTAGATAATTCAAATAGGCTAATGAAATAGGTGTGTGTGTGTGTGTGCGTGCATGCATGGTATGTGAGGTTTTGAGCACAGCCTAAATGATTAGTTAAATAGCAATTCACTTCTTTGTCTCTTCAGATTGTACCATTTAAAAAAATGTTTGAATAAAAAAAACTTTTTAAAAAAAGCTTGCGCTTGTCTTTTCCTACTAGCACTGACTTTGCTGATAACTTTCTTATTGGGGAAAAATGGACTTACCGCGTCTGTGATATGTGGTTGTCTCACTTAAGATGAATACACTAACTATAAGTCAGTCTGTTTATTTTCAATGTGCAATCTGTAGAAACAATGACGGCGTAGTGTGGCGTAGTGTGTTACTGATGGTAGGCTTTGTTACTTTGGTCCCAGCTCTCTGCAGGTCATTCACTAGGTCCCCCCGTGTGGTTCTGGGATTTTTGCTCACCGTTCTTGTGATCATTTTGACCCCACGGGGTGAGATCTTGCGTGGAGCCCCAGATCGAGGGAGATTATCAGTGGTCTTGTATGTCTTCCATTTCCTAATAATTGCTCCCACAGTTGATTTCTTCAAACCAAGCTGCTTACCTATTGCAGATTCAGTCTTCCCAGCCTGGTGCAGGTCTACAATTTTGTTTCTGGTGTCCTTTGACAGCTCTTTGGTCTTGGCCATAGTGGAGTTTGGAGTGTGACTGTTTGAGGTTGTGGACAGGTGTCTTTTATACTGATAACAAGTTCAAACAGGTGCCATTAATACAGGTAACGAGTGGAGGACAGAGGAGCCTCTTAAAGAATAAGTTACAGGTCTGTGAGAGCCAGAAATCTTGCTTGTTTGTAGGTGACCAAATACTTATTTTCCACCATAATTTGCAAATAAATTCATAAAAAATCCTACAATGTGATTTTCTGGAATTTCTTTCTCATTTTGTCTGTCATAGTTGACGTGTACCTATGATGAAAATTACAGGCCTCTCACATCTTTTTAAGTGGGAGAACTTGCACAATTGGTGGCTGACTAAATACTTTTTTTCCCCACTGTACTTGTGTACTATTGTTTTTACAGATGAACTTGGTACCTTCAGGCGTTTGGAAATTGCTCCCAAGGATGAACCAGACTTTATTTGGATTTTCCCATGATGTCAAGCAAAGAGGCACTGAGTTTGAAGGTAGGCCTTGAAATACATCCACAGGTAAATCTCCAATTGACTCAAATGATGTCAATTAGCCTATCAGAAGCTTCTTAAGCCATGACATCATTTTCTGGAATTTTCCAAGCTGTTTAAAGGCACAGTCAAATTAGTGTATGTAAACTTCTGACTCACTGGAATTGTGATACAATGAATTATAAGTGAAATAATCTGTCTGTAAACAACTGCTGGAAAAATGACTTGTGTCATGCCCAAAGTAGATGTCCTAACCGACTTGCCAAAACTATAGTTTGTTAACAAGACATTTGTGGAGTGGTTGAAAACCAAGTTTTAATGACTCCAACCTAAGTGTATGTAAACTTCCGACTTCAACTGTATGTGTATATAAACAGTACCAGTCAAAAGTTTGGACACACCTACTCATTCAAGGGTTTTACTTTATTTTTACTATTTTCTACATTGTAGAATAATAGTGAAGAAATTAAAAATATGAAATAACACACATGGAATCATGTAGTAACCAAAAAAGTGTTAACCCTTAAAGTCTCACTGACTCCTTCTCACAAATGATCACAAAAATATAAAAATTAAATAAAGTTGGTTCAACACAGTGGCGGGTCATTTTGACCCTAGGACAACGGGAGGGTTAAACAAATAAAAATATATTTGAGAATTGAGATTCTTCAAATAGCCACCCTTTGCCTTGATGACAGCTTTGCACACTAAAAATAAAGAAAAACCCTGGAATGTGTAGGTGTGTCCAAACTTTTGACTGGTACTGTATGTGTGTGTATATATATATATATATATATATATATATATATATATATATATAGATATATATATATATATGCGGGAAAAAAATATGGGGGATTGGAAGTGATGCAGACAATTACATTGATGGAAGTTACAATTATCTGCAATATTAAAGCTGATCTATTCCCTAAAATTTTACAAAATTTATATAAATAACTACAAGTCGGTCTGGATAAGATCGTCTGCTATATTACTAAAATGTAAAATGTTGTGGTGGGTGGGAGATAGGTGTGTGTGTTCTGCATGCTTTGTTCTCTTGACGTGTTGTATCTTGTCCCATTCCACCCTTCTCCAGCTCAGTACAGTCCTCTTGGTATTGTTGTGGGACAATGCTCCTACACAGCTTAAATTGCATTTGACATTTAAAATGAAAATGCAACCATTGTGGTAAAAGCAGGAAATACTGGAATTGGGTTTATGGTCAGATAGAGGTTAGGGTTCGGACTTGTAGCCAAACATAATCCCAAAATGTTTTCCTACTCAGTTGAATTCTCGAAATTTTCCGGCAAACAAAATAGTGACAGGGAGTCAATGACCCCCTCTTAGTGAGGTTCCTAGGTGTTGGGGAAAGGTCATTACAGTACAGATGTGGGACCTTAATTTGACCATTTCTCACAGCAGGAAAATAATCCTGCAACAACGGGAAATGTGAATTATTGTGTGGATTATAATTAATGGACATTTTTATAGGGGTTGATACATTTTTAGTTAGGGCAACAACAAAAATATCTGCAACAAAAGGATGATCAAATGAAGACCCTACACCTACGCCGACATTTGAGTGTGTATGTGTTTATGTTTTGTGGGCCTCAGTGCCAACGCAGTGGCCTTCGAATGCAACACCACCTTCGGTAATGAAGTGTACTCCGTGCTATATCACGCCAAAGCACAAGGTATGTTGTACTGCAGCACATACACACTAATTTTATACAGACAAGCAAAAGCAAAATACACACAAAACACACACACACAGCCACACCACACACATTCCAATGCACAATTGCCTTGCAATAAAGAAGCAAGGTTCACATCATAAAATTATCTCCTATTGCCTTGCATCCACACCCTCTGCCACTCTCTCTCTGCCTATAGTTTATGATGGTCAGATTACAATGTTATTTAAAGTGCAATGTTCTTAACTGATTATCTACAGTTACATTTAAGTTATTTAGCAGACACTCTTATCCAGAGCAGCTTACAAATTGGTGCATTCAATTTAGGATAGCCAGTGGGACAACCACCACTGGGGGGGGGGGGGGGGGTATAGAAGGATTACTGTTAGACTATTCCAGGTATTCCTTAAAGAGGTAGGGTTTCAAGTGTCTCCGGAAGGTGGTCAGTGACTCCACTGTCCTGGTGTCATGGGGGAGCTTGTTCCACGATTGGGGTGCCAGAGCAGTGAATAGTTTTGACTGGGCTGAGCGGGAACTGTGCTTCCGTAGAGGTAGGGGGGCTAGCAGGCCAGAGGTGGATGAACGTAGTGCCCTCGTTTGGGTGTAGGGTCTGATCAGAGCCTGAAGGTAAGGAGGTGCCGTTCCCCTCACAGCTCCGTAGGCAAGCACCATGGTTTTGTAGTAGATGCGAGCTTCAACTGGAAGCCAGTGGAGTGTGCGGAGGAGTGGGGTGACATGAGAGAATTTGGGAAGGTTGAACACCAGACGGGCTGCAGCGCTCTGGATAAATTCTGGATCTACGGTGTCTCTGGGAGTAAACTGATCATCCGATAAGAAAGGGTGGGGCTAGTCAAGATGGAGACCCTTAAGTGAACTGGTTTATCATTTTGATTTCCAAACTCAGGCCGGGATTCATTCCAACATAGATTAATAATGACCTGCACACAGCTCAAAACTTTTAATGCAATTTCCCAGACGTTTGTGGGGATTGAGTTGGTTATACACTGCATATGTAGACTCAAGCAGAAATCACCTTTAAAAGTCAATCGCAGTGCACATGTCATTAATCTGAGTTTGTTTGAATCCCGGGCTAAATAGGATTTCATAAATCTTAACAGTCACTCTCTGTTGTCTTAGTGTCTGTCAATGTCAGTGAATGGTGTGCACCTGTCTATGGTGGTGGGGTTATGCTATAGGTTATGCTATGGACACCGTACTTCTCTGTGTTTGTCAATGGAATAGCTGGGTCATTCCACGAAAAGAGTGCCTTTTGCATCCCTTTGATATATTAAGCAGAAATTGTGTACCAATATTGCATTTTAAAAGCCTGTTGTATTAAATGAAGTGCCCTTTAAAATAGTCCACATAGAGAGTTCAATCAATCAGATTTTTTTATATGAATAAATCAACCCTGTGTCATTTCTAGGAAGATTGTGACCCACTTAATACCAACATTTTCACCATTGTAAAGTCCTAGTTATTTTGTTGCTTTGACAAAGTCATTTCTGAAGATTATTATTTATTTCATGTGATTACTGATTAGTCTGTCCCTCATTTTAAGGTCAACCCTGTTATGTGAACTGAACTCTCGTTTTAATATGGGGAAACTATTCCTTAAAAAAAAAAAATTCTAAAGAAACATTGAACATCTATCTAATAGTAAAATCATAGAGTAAAAGCAGGTGAGCTGGTTCTACTCATTTTGGCCATTTTCTGGTGTTTTGGTGTAGAAAACTGAGCGGGTCGAGCATAAAACATTAACACTGTTACCCATAGATAGACAGGCTATAAATGTTTTAAAGGCCCAGTGCAGTCAAAAACGTGAATGTCCTGTGTTTTATATATATTTCCACACTATGAGGTTGGAATAATACTGTGAAATTGTGAAAATGATGATAATGCTCTTTTACTAGCTGTTTGAAAAGACCGACTGAAATTTTTGCCTGTTTTGGTGGGATGGAGTTTTGGCCTGCCTGGTGACATTACCAGGTGGTAAATTAGTAAATAGACCAATAAGAAAGAGTTCCAAACCCCTCTGCCAATAACAGCTAGTTCTGAGTTTTCCACTCCCCACACACCACTCCCAGACAGTCCTAGCAAAATTCTTGCTTGAGAAATGGCTCCTTTTTAAGAAGCTATTTTATTTTATTTTAGTCCCTTCTAATTGAAAACAATCACAGTAAGGCGCTTAATTGTTACCCAGAAATGATTTGATATTGAGATAAAAATGGCTGCATTGGACATTTCATTGTAAGCTTGCATTCAATTGCCACTCCCTGTTGCACACAACAAGCTTTCACAAGGGAATTTATGGCTGATTTAAGAAGAAATCATCAACCCTGTTACGGTCAACCCTGTTTCTTTTTTTGGCACTTAATAGGCACTTACTATAGATCTTTTTTTTTTTTTTTACCTCTTGTATTAAGTTGAACATGTGTTCTTTATGACATACTGTTAAATTTAGGTGAAATTTAAAAAAAAATGTTTTTTTAACCAAGTTGCACTTCTCAAAAAGCACCACATTGGTGGAATGACCCACCTACAGTATGGTTTTGTGTTCCAGGGAAGTCAGTGGGTATCGTGACCACCACTCGCGTCCAGCATGCCTCTCCTGCTGCCGCCTATGCCCACTCAGTGAGCCGCAGCGGGTACAGCGACACTGACATTCCCTCTAGTGCCCACAGACAGGGCTGCGTCAACATCGCCACACAGCTGGTGACCAACATTGACATCGATGTAAGTCTTCATAGTATATCTCATGATAGAGGCCATATAGTATCACAGTATTTCTATTCTATATGATCAGTTTAGACTGTATTTCGCTATTACCTGGTGTTGTATTTAAAGCATGTCACACACATGGGTCACCAATGCATTAATCTTTTACCATTCATTTTTAATGGAGTATTCTACTACTGCGGACTGGGTGTACACAGCAGTAATTAGTATCTATCTGGTGCAACAGGGGATCTTGGGTGGGGGGGGGGGCGAATGTACATGACGCCAAAGGGAACACCAGACCCTGAGTACCCCACTTCCTCGTCCCGGAAAGGGGATCGCAAAGACAAGTGGAACCTCATTGACGTGTGGATGAAGGCATTGATTCTGTCCTTGGTTGGCCACTTTGAAGGGGTATGGTGTGAGCCTTTACATGTAAGGGTTTGCTAGTGTTCAAGAACCTGTTGTCTAGTTACAATCCCACAGAACTTCAGCGAGTTCCCTTCTGAAAATGGCAAATTAATTGTCAGGGTCATTTTCATTAGGGCACACGATGGGAAACATTGTCACAAAATTAAATTGAGCATTTCTTATTGAACAAAATCCAGGAAGTTCTTCCCTGTTTCAGTGTGTTTTCTTCTGTGTGTTGCCCACTAAACATGATGATGTAATATATAGCTTAGGTCTTCTCTCTACTACATAATTGTCAGTATAATTGTTAGGCGTAACTGATGTTGTCTTATTTCTGTGATGTCTTTGTTTCAGGACAAGAATTTCCAGTATGTTTGGCACAGGAAGCATGTTGATGAGATCAATATAAAGACTACTGACCGTCTCCTCGGTAAGCTGGTTTTAGCTGGATAAGCTGGAGGGCTTATCAGATCTTACCACTTATCTGGTACTGTATGCCACCCATTCGTGAATGTCACCCATTCTACTGAAGTACAGTTTTGTCTGACAACTGAAAACGTCCTAATATAGATGCCGTACAGTGGGGCTCTGCGTTTTTGTCAACAATATAACTTCACCAGGAAAATGTTACTGTCTCCACAAGTTGAACTGTTTTCCCCAGATTTCAAACGTGTTTCTTTTCTTTTCTTTTCTTACTTACCTGCTCCTTCTCCCTCTTTCTTTTCCTTCTCATGGCGCCAGGTCTTTTTAAGCCAAAGGACATGCGGTTCGAGATTTCCGGAATGCCACACGTGACCCGTCCATCGTCGAGATGACAAACAAGAACATTCGGATCCTCAGCAAGAACCCCAAAGGCTACTTCCTCTTTGTGGAAGATGAGTACCTCCATTTCATCAGAGCACATACACTGAGTATACCAAACATTAGAAAAACCAGCAGCGTTGCAATTCTTGACACAAACCGTTGCGCCTAGCACGTACTACCATACCCTGTTCAAAGGCACTTAAATCGTTTGTCTTGCCCATTCACCCTCTGAATGGCACACACACAATCCATGTCTGATTTGTTTCAAGGATTAAAAATCATTTTATAACCTGTCTCCTCCCCGTCATCTACACTGATTGTAGTGGATTTAACAAGTGACATCAATAAGGGATCATATCTTTCACCTGGATTCACGTGGTCAGTCTAGCAGGTTTTCTTAACGGTTTGTATACTCAGTGTATAACTACTGTAGCATGATATACTACAGTACCCATTATGCTGTATCCTTACCAATACAGATACAGCAAGAAATGCTGAGATGAGGTATTTACCCTGGCTACCTTCTGTTGAATATTGTTGATATTGTAATTATTGACAGTATGTGGACATGGGGTTGTAATGGCAGCTGAATTGTTTTTCATTAGTTAAAGTGAAGTTCAACTCGATTTTGAAACAATATTGTTTATGAAGGGTCAAGTCCTAACTTGAGAATCTCAGATGTTCATGCAAATTTCACAATTAATGATTCATGCAAATCTGTTACGTGTGCGGATCTCAAGTTAGGATCCAATGATAAAGGAGTAGACAAATGTACAGTGGACATTTTAGGACACACTCAGTCTTATGCCTCACCCCTCCTTGAGTCAATCATCAACTCTCCTTGAGTCAATCGTCACACCTCAACCTTGACACCAAAGGGTCAACTCTGAGTTGAGTTGTTCTTTACGAGGGGGAATTGACCACAGGCACCACGATGGTATTGCCAAGCTGGCACTGACCGAGGTTCTGATGTTTGACCAGGCGGTGCAATGAGCTTCCAGGCCCACTACAGATTCAGACACCCTCACTGTCATCACCGTAGACCACTCCCATGTCTTCACCTTCGGAGGAAACTCCCCCTGTGGAAACTCCATCTTTGGAATGGTCCAAAACACAGTCATAGGCTCATGTGTATACAGATAGTACAGTGCACATTTTAGGACATCCTCAAGCGTTACAAGGATGTCCTAAAATGTACACCATATTTTAACTACAGTCAAGGGGGGCAATGTTTGTTGTTGTCTTTTCGCTTCAATGTGATTTATTTTTGTGTCCAGCATATAATGTAATGTTCCCTGTTCTGTTATGTCAACCATTTTGTGTCAGGTTTGGCACCCAAGAGGGCAGATGATAGGATGCCATTCACCAGCATCCTGTATGCCAACGGTCCTAGTTATGTACATGTGAATGGGATGAGAGGAAACATCACATTTGTGGATTAATGTAAATACAGTACAACTATTATGGTAGTACAGGTGATGGCTGTTGAATGTATGTGTATGTGAATTAGCTTGTGTGTGTGTGTGTGTGTGTGTCCGTGCATGCATGTGTGTACCTGTGGATGTGCACATGTTCCTTTTTCATACACGTTTTTGTGTAGATTTGTACGTGTGTGTATAAACATGTACACAGATTGCGCTTTAACCACTAAATCTCTCTTTCTCAGACGATGAGCAGTACATACTGCAGTCCCGCTGGACTCTGAGACCCACAGCGGGGAGGACGTGGCCATCTATGCCAAAGGCCCCATGGTCCACCTCTTCCACGGGGTCAAAGAGCAGAACTACATCTCCCACGCCATGGCCTACGGAGTCTGCATTCAGCCCTACACAGACTGCCACCCACATCCACCCGCCTCAGCCGGACACACACAGACCCTCTCTGGGCTGCTTCTCTGTCTGGCCAGCCTCCTCTGGCTCCTGTTCAGATGATGACACACAATCCGACACACACTGGGTACAGTGTCCATATTAGGACAGTCACACGTCCATTGAAGTTGTGTCAGATAGTGGTTTTGGACAGACATTGGGGGAAAATGGGTTCTCGTACTGACTTATCCAGCAAGGATGATAAAATAACGGGGCAGTTCCAGGTTAGACATTTTGCAGTAGTGATGTGCCTCTAGAAAGATATTTCAGCAAATTTGGGGGGTAGTCCTGACAGGGACTTGAACCTGGGTCCAGGGACTGTCAACCCCAACATCTTAGCCAATACGCCAAGAGAACCAAATTGGGTGATGGGTTAAGGTTGTTACACTAATGTGGTTTGCAGTGAAACCTGGCAAGCTGGAACGCCACCAAAATATAGTTCCTAGTGGAAGGAGGGCTTACTGTACACCCCAAGAGATCACTATAGCTGGACTAAGCCAATGAGATGACTGTGGTGACCGAAGATCTGGTGGCTTAAATAGTATGGTCTGGTATCCCAGACACAGATTAAACCTAGTCCTGGACTAAAATAGCATGTTCAATGTGCTTCTTAGACCAAGGCTTAATATGTGAACGGACAATACAGCTCATTATGATTTTATCAAAGGCTTTTACTCTGTTATTAGTTTGATCCCTTGACTTGGTCAATGGCCAAAGGAAGTCAAAGGTTGCTCTATTGTTGTTCGGAGAAAGTTTAGGAAGAAATGCTCGCGCTGAACTGTGTTATGAAAACAGTTTACAAGTAAACAGGATGCTCGGCTATGAAAAGCCAACTGATATTTACTCCTGATGTACTGACCTGTTGCACCCTCTACAACCACTGTGATTATTATTTGACCCTGCTGGTCATCTATGAACGTTTGATCATCTTGAAGAACAGTCTGGCCTTAAATGGCCATGTACTCTTATAATCTCCACCCGGCACAGCCAGAAGACGACTGGTCACCCCTCAGAGCCTGGTTCCTCTCTAGGTTTCTTCCTAGGTTCCTGTCTTTCTAGGGAGATATTCCTAGCCACCGTGCTTCTACATCTGCATTGCTTGCTGTTTGGGGTTTTAGGCTGGGTTTCTGTATAGCACTTTGTGATATCTGCTGATGTAAAAAGGGCTTTATAAATGAATTTGATTGATTGATTGAAGTTAACTGCCATTTAGCAAAAATGTTAAGGTTGTATTTTGACCTTTTTGAAACCATTTTAATTGTCGTCCTCAGATTGTACCTCACAATAGCATTATACATTTTTTTAGTTGTTGATTTTGACAATGAATATATTTTTTATGCAGATCTTGTTAATTTATTTTTATGCATTTTTTGAAACTTGTTTTGAATATTTACAAAAATAGAACCTCCATTGGTTTCTTTGCTCTCCTTCCTCCTTAAATCCCACTCAGCGTACATGGGTCAGTTATACCACTCTACCAAGGTACATATCATACTCATCTTTATAAATGAAACCTTATGTCTGAAATAACTTGTATAAAATATTATCACGTTGTAGGCATTTTGTTTTACTCTGCCATGGCTAATACATTTGGCAAATTTCTTCAACTTCTTTCCTTCTGTGTTTCTAACTAGTTATTCAAAGTTAATCCATACCAAACATTTACTAAATAATTATCTTTAAATGCCCACACCAGTAGAAATCCACTTTTTCAAGCTGAAAGACAATGGCCAGAGCTTACCCAGGATGTTGCACAATTAATTTAAGTCAATAAGTCATCGTTTTAGTCAAAGTATGATACATTTGGGCTTGAAGTGACAAATCCAAACTGCCCAGTTTGTGCAAATCCTCGCCAAGGTCGTATCTTTTCCGATGACATTCAAATTCTTTAGCATATGTTCAGTTTCAGTGCTGGGTTTTATTTGAATGTTACTGTCACAAGATGGATTGGTAGATAAGTGGGTGGCGGGTGGCGGGGCTGGTGTGATTAGACACACCTGCAGCGAGTTAGCTAATCAGACAGGAATCTGGGGATTGGCTGTAATTTCCTTTAAAAGCCCTGTGTTTTGTGACGTTTGGGGCTGGAAGAAGAGGAGAAAAAAAAGGAAAAGCGAAACGCTTAGAGGAGGAGGGAAGATGGTGGATAAGGAAGAAAGTGGAGCAAATTATGAATAAACATGGAGTGGGGTATTACAGAGGCCTTCTGAAAGATCTGGTGAAGGAAAATATATGGAATATGTTTTGAGTGAATATGGAATGGAGGATTATACAGAACTTTTGGAAGAGCTTGAGGAGGAAATGGAACATGATGAGAGTGAGGATGAGGTGCAGTGATGACTGCTGAGAAGAAGTAGAGTGTAGAGGAAAGTAGTGAGGTGAGGAAGGTGGGTGTCTAGTGCAAAAACAGGGATATGTGCTCCAGCAGTTTAGAGATGGAACTTGTTGAGAAGTAAGGATGACTTTGGACCAGTGGGAGTGAGATTTGTAGAGAGAATGGATCCTTGCTTTTTGGTTGATATGTATGTGGTGTCAGGCTGGGTGGAGGAGAGGTTGGGTGCGGTTGAGTTGGTGAAGGTAACTCGGAGTGGACTCGTGATTATTCTTTGTGTTTCCTCCACCCAGAGGGAGCGGCGCTCTGGATTACGAGATTAGGGACAAGAATTGTGACGTGCTTTGCTCTCCGGAGCAGGGCGCTGTTGAAAGGAGTGATAATGGGGTGTGCATTAAGTGTTGAGGAGCATTTGAAAGTGAAGATTCCCGGTGTCTGTGAAAGTGAAGATTGCCATTTGGTGAGACTTAGATACGGTGGGGAAATGGAGAAGACATTATCTGTCATACTGAGTTTTGATGCAGAGTCATTACCAGATAAGGTCAAGGTAGAACGTGTCAGTTATCCTGTGAGAGATTATGTTCAGAAAATATTACAGTGTTTTAGGTGTCAAGGTTATGTGCATATTGCAGCAGTGTGTAGGAGGGAGATGCCTAGATGTGAGAAGTGTGCAGGAGGGCATGAGACGAAGGAGTGTGTGATATCGGTGGAGAAAGTTGTGTGTGTTAGTTATGGGGGTGATCATTGGGCTGGAGATCGGAGGTGTCCCGTGAGAGAAAGGCAGATTGAGGTTGCCAGGGTTAGAGTAGTACAGAAAGTGTCGTATGCCGAAGCAGTTTAGAGATTGGTAGAGGAAGAAGGGTACAGGGTGAGGGATACTGAGAGGATTCCTGTGAGTAGGCAGAGATCAAGAGAGAGTGATGGTCAGAATATGTGCTTCAGTAAAGTGGATTTTTAGCATTTATAGCCATGGTTGTTAATTGTACTGCAGAAATGGATCGAAAGTCACAGAAAATAGATGTTGTGATGGCAGCGGCAGAGAAGTACTTGGGATTGCGAGAATTTACTGCAGAACAGCTGCAGGGGGTGTTGAGTGGTAGTGATATGTCCTCTCAGACCGTTGGTCTGTAGTAGGACTAGATAGGGTTAAATAGTGGAATGGGTGGTGTTTTTTTGAGAGGGCTAATAGGTGGTAGGGCAATTTTCCTTTTCCTTTTTCCAAATGTTTTATTATTATATCAAATAATATAATGTAGGTAGGCCGTGAATTGCCTCACACACCAGTACAGTAGGTGGTGGTGTATGCACCTAAAAGTTGGATGTGATCCGCCAACCAAATCCTGAAGAAGAAGAAGAAGAAGAAGTGTTAGGGGCTGGAAGTTGAGCGGAGATCGGTCTCCTTTGCAAGTTTCCATGTCTTGTCTATTTGGGTGTTTGCTGTGATCGCACTGGACAAGTGTCTGTGGGACGAGAAGTCTTAATGGCAAATTTGAGTGAGGAAGTGGGCGGCTGTGCTGGCAGCGAACTGGGGCTGTGGAGTTGAGTGCTGATCCGAGAGCAGAGGACCGAGAGAGGCATTGGTACAATGCAATCTAGGAGATTTAGCTCCGCCAAGGAAGAGATGTGATTCTTCCTGTGTTCCCCTTACACTACTCTTTCTCTCTCTGGGCCGTTTTGCCACCCCACTGAAAGCCACTATTGACGGCAGGTTTACCTGCCGTCTGACATGCTCTCGTTTAACACTGAAGGCGGGGCCATCGGGAAGTCGCCAAGCAGAGTCTCAGACCGGGCGCGTTCCAGGACAGGGAGCTGTGCGGATCTGGACATTGCCATATAGAGATGTTTATTTCATTTTGTGGGGATATGGTTCTTGTCGGGCCCTAGAAATCGAGAACCCATCCCCACCCTTTCTATGTGTTGTCTTGTCTCTTTCCCCCTCCCATAGCAGTAGAGAGTCCATTAGAGGGGTTGGCAGAGTAGACCAGGGCCAAGGGTGGGTCCCATATTGTGTGCAGCACCAGAGCGAGATTATAGTGCCTTCCACCATATAATTTGCAGTGCCTTCCCTTAGAATAACTATCTTGTTGTAGTGCCATATCTGAATAATTCACTGTGTGCAGTGGAGTGAGATTTGCAGTGCCTTTCACCATATTGTTTGCAGTGCCTTCCCTTAGAATAACTGTTTTATTGCAGTGCCATATCAGAATAATTCACAGTGTACAGTGTAGTGAGATTTGTAGTGCCTTTCACCATATTATTGCAGTGCCATATCAGAATAATTCAGTGTGCAGTGTGTTGCAGTGTGTCCCTTTTGCATTCTCGATTGAGCTCAGGTGCATCCTGTTTCCATTGATCATCCTTGAGATGTTTCTACAACTTGATTGGAGTCCACCTGTGGTAAATTCAATTGATTGGACATGATTTGGAAAGATACACACCTGTCTATATAAGGTCCCAAAGTTGACAGTGCATGTCCAAGGTAGGGGAGGGTTTGGCCGGCAGGGATGTGGGATGTTTCTCACGGGGGGCCAGTATGAAAGAAAAAAAAAACATGTATGCATTCACTAACTGTAAGTCACTCTGGATAAGTGTGTCTGCTAAATGACTAAAATGTAAATGTAAAATGTCAGAGCAAAAACCAAGCCATGAGGCCGAAGGAACTGTCTGTAGAGCTCCGAGACAGCATTGTGTCAAGGCACAGATCTGGGGAAGGGTACCAAAAAATGTCTGCAGC